GGGGGCTGCGGGGGGCTGCGCGCTGCCTTTCCCCGGCGTCTCGCACCGAGAGGTGGCTCCCGGCGCGCCGGGCTCCGAAGGCGCTGCCGGAGCCTTTCGGTCGTCCTCGGGTTTTAGCGCTGGAGGTGCGAAGGGGCCGGCGGGGCCACAGCGTTGCAACCCCCCCCCCTGCATTCCCGCACCCTAAAACTTTGTTTTATTCGCCACTTGCGCTCTCGGGACGAGAAAAGCCCAGCTCCCGCACAGTCAAAAAGCTGCGGTACTGCGCTCCCGGGCGTCCCCCTCCCACCTCCTGTTGGTACCCACAGCAGCCGCCCATTCAACATCGGCTTGGAAAACGCGGCGAAATGGTTCTAAGCAAGCCCTGCGATAGCGCCTTTGTTTTGCGACAGTAGCCTGCCCCCCCTCGTCCCCCCAAGTTGGCAGGCGGGTGCCTCATGTCCATTTGAGCTGCCGCCGGCCGTGCCAGCGCAGGTCGGGACCTGCGTGAGTGCGCTGCGGAGATGCCGCTGTAAATAGCCGCCGCACGCCCAAAACTGCGGTGCGACAGTGGTGTCGTGTGGAGCGGCTGGCTGCGAGCCCACGTCCAGGCTGGTTGCTCTGCTCCCTGAAATGATACTAGTTAGAAGAGGAAGGATCTTTAAAATACCGTTTGACTTGTGTACTGAAGCCTTTGTTATTATTTATATCGTTACGGCTTTGAAGCCATCCATAATCGTGCCTGATGGTAATATGACCTGTAAAAACCCACCTGGCGTCCTGTTAGACACAGTCTGCTGTGTAATCTTGTCGTCCAGATCGGAGAATTTCAGGTGTGACCACACATAAAATTAATCTTTTTGGTTTTTTTCTGTTGTACGTTGTATTTGTCTAAGGCAACCATGAACAGCTACTCCAAAAAATTGTTTTGCAACTTTGATGGCAAATCTTAGCTGCTGGAAAGTCCCATTTTGGTTTCAGACCTTTGCATAGCCATCACTCCATCTCATCTCAAGCCTTTAAATTAACTGCATGATGAGAAAATAGTAGGTGTTGGAGATGGTGTTGGTTTCTAAGTTGCTGATAGCCCTTGGATTTAGATAAGTGAAAACCTGGACACAGGGCTCAAACACAGTATTAAGCTTTCGTCAACATTTGTTCATTAACATTTGTAGGGGGTTTTTTTGCTGTGGGGAAGAAAGGTGTGCAGTTTGAAAGAAAAATTTGGCCATGACAGCTGGGCATTTTGCTGAGTGTTGAAATCATACAAAACCAGACTGCTTCAGAAAAACATGTGTTCATTAAAAATAGATGTTTGGATCGTTAACTATCGAAGTATGACTGACAGTGTAGTTCTACTGTTTTGATTTTTTTTTTTCATGTAGCATGCTGGTTTAGAAGAACAGAAACTTTCTGTAGGTCGATGAGCAAGCTTCTGTGTTTGAGTTATGCTTTTGGCTTGCATGCAGCATTTTTGCATTTTCAGGGTTGCAAATAATACCGGCTGAATTGATTGGACATGATCTCAGCTGAAGCAGCAGTATGAGATCCACCCTTTATAAGTGGTAGCCTCCTTCTAGACAGGCCCATCCGCAGTTCAGTAGAAGGTGCGATCTCCCAGATCCTCCCTGTCTCTCTCTTGCACACGTGCATGCACGTGCACACACACTCACTCCTAATGCGTTCTTCCCAGACGTCCCACAGCTAGAAGGAAGCTAGCCGCATGGTTTTAATACCCAAGACAAACACCCTTTTTTTGCCCACTTCTACACAATGAAGGAATGTAGTTAATTTGTAGATCTCGTTATTCTCCGCATACAGAAAGATATGGTCAGCCACACTTGGACAAAGAAGTCAGGAGTCACCGTACTCCTCTTTCCTATGCTCCAAAAATCTGCATTCCCCACTTGGTGATTGGAAGTTTTGCAGAAGCCTGGAATATGACACCAGCACCTGCATTTTGCTTGGCAAGCGAAAGCTCAGGGAAGTCCCAGCTGAACTGGGGGTGAAAGGGTGGATGAGTGATGCCTCCCTTGTCTGTCCATCCAGGTTTCTTTTCCATAGGTTTCAGGATATGCTTCAGCCCTATAGGAAATGCTCACCTGGGACATACTCTAGCAAAATGAGCTTTTCTCAGTATGGATAAAGCACCTGTGTCTTACTTGGGCCACTAAAATAAATTATTAGTGAGGAAGTAGTAAGGGTGTCAGAGGCCTTTAGGTTTCAGTGAGAATCTGGGCACAGGGTTCAAAGGTAAGGACAACCAAATACTTGTGAGCTTCAGCACTGGGGGAGGCAATGATTTTGGAGCCATTTTGAACAAGAAGTCTAGTCCAGAGAGTTGGTCATTAACTGACGGTTAATACGAGATCTTACAAAACCAGCTTTCAGTTTGTCTCGGGTGTGACCCAAAATCAGGAGATTTTGGCAATTACTTCTTTTCTCTTTTGAGGTTCTGGCTTCGGTTCGTCTCTAGCAGAATTGCAGGCTCAAGCCCCCCAGATCACTTCGTATGCACTTTACAACAGCCATTTGCAGCAGATAATGTAATTCTTGTTCTCATCTGAGAGTCTAGAGGACTGAGATAAGAGTTAAATGACCTATCCAAAATACACAGTAAATTAGCATAAGAAATGAGACAGGGAAACAAATTATTTGCTCCAGTCGCAGGATTAAATTGCCTTTCCCTAACCCTCTGCAACTGTTAAGAAATTCATGGGCCATTCCTCTTGCAAGAACTTGAAAAGGCCAGACATGCCTTTTATGCTTCTTTCTGATGTAAGTGGTATTAAATATGCATTGTAGCTCAGATACCTTAGATAACTGAGCATAAATTCATCCATCTTCCACTTGAAATTCTGTTCCCAAATGTAGCAGCTGAATATTCTTTCTTTTGTTTTCTGCTTTTTGGAGGGGTTGGAGATTTTTTGCTTTTGTTTTTAGAGAAGAATCTTGTTAGCATTCCTTAGAAACTCATTAAAATGCTTCCCTTTTGGCTTATTCTCCTAATTTATTAATACCACAAATAACTTTTTCTTTGGTGACCCACTTTCATAGGTATCTGAACATCTAGCAAAATTGTAGCTCATCAAGAAGGCAGTGTAGACTAATAAATACCATCTCCAGACAGAGTGGAAAAATCAAGACACTTCTTTCTTTGCCACACAGAGTTTTACACACCACACATACAGAAAATATTTCTCTATTCCACAGCTTACTTGGCACCCTTAGCTCAAAAGAAAGCACTTTATTGATTGCATGATTGATTTAAAGGTCAGAATTTAGGATTGCATCTTTTCTCCTGCTTGAATTAAATTTTTACCCCATGTCCACAGTGAAGAAACTGCTCTTTGCATAAATATAAATTGAAATACTTTGTGTGAGTGTTCAAATAGACTTTCTCTTATAGCTCCCAGGGCAACCTCCCAACACTACACTGTTACGAAAACCATTAGGGTTTGACTAAAATACTGCTTTTATCGAACTATCATACCTGCTTTGTGAAAAGTACAGATTTACTTAGAGAAAAAGGATACCCGCTGATTTAATGAGCATGGTGGTCAACGGGCCACTGGAAGTGGTAGGGCTTTACAGACTCTAAATCAAGCAGAGGTTAGCTAGTGTAGAAGAATACACTCATCTTCATACTCACTTATTTAAAAGAAAATAGAGGTTGCTTTTTGTGACCTGAAGCCATACAGACAGACATTGCAGGGGGCAATTAATCACCGTCTGTCCTGCAGACTAACACTGGTCATGTTTTAAGGGCAGTCTGCTCTGACAGTTTGTATTTGTTGTTGTCCCAGCCCAGGGATACTCAGCATTGCCACCTTCTTTCCAAAGACTGCTGGATAGCAACCTCCAACAGGAGAGCATAAGGCTTATTTGGTGACTTCTGACGAAGCTTTGTTTTCCTTTTCAGTAAGTGTGGACGTCTGTGTAAGTGTGAGAGCATCATGGTGGCGTTTAAAGGAGTCTGGACTCAGCCCTTCTGGAAAGCCGTTTCGGCAGAGTTTTTGGCCATGTTCATTTTTGTCCTCCTCAGCCTTGGCTCCACAATCAACTGGGGTGGATCAGAGAAGCCCCTGCCAGTAGACATGGTCCTTATCTCCCTCTGCTTTGGACTCAGCATTGCAACCATGGTGCAGTGCTTTGGACACATCAGCGGAGGCCACATTAACCCTGCTGTGACCGTGGCAATGGTCTGCACGAGGAAGATCAGCCTCGCCAAGTCCGTCTTCTACATTCTTGCCCAGTGCCTGGGAGCCATCGTGGGTGCAGGCATCCTTTACCTCGTCACACCACCAAGCGTGGTGGGAGGCCTGGGAGTCACTGCGGTAATCATTTCTCTTCCAGCTCTTGAACTAGGCTAGCTTAGAGCCTAAGAAAATATGATCAGTGCCATGCAGAATAAAGAGAGCTCAAGTAGAGATTTTAAGAGTTTGCTTGTTTATTTACAACACCTAGACAAGACTTAAAGCTCTCCTTAGGATGGGTTTATGCAGCTGTTCTTTTTATAGAAGTTCTCTTTCCTAGAACTTTCCCAAATCTGATGACAGCAGGTAAAGTTAATTTACATACAGAATTTAAATAATATATGCATGAAATGCCATTTTTATATGGGCTGGGGAGGGAGAAATTAATTCTATGCCATTATGATGGGGATTGAAAAAACATCAATTTAAAATGACATACTTTTGAAATAGATTGTGGCTTAGATTTCAGCTTTGTTCTAAACTAATAAGGAATGCCATCAGTTAGCCCTGTTGCAGGACTTATTAAAAATGCACTTGAGCCGCACACTGCTTAATTTTTAATTGAAATTTAAATTAATTAAGTCAGGGCTAATTAATGAATTTATAATTGAATAGTAAATTACAGTGCTCCCAAGAAAAAAAATGGTGAAGGGGAAGTGCAGCATTTGCAAATCCCTGTGTAAAAATAAACTATACTTCTGCAGTCTAACTTTGAAGTTCTTGTTGGATGCTACTATTAAGCCTTCTGTTCTCAGTCCAGCAGTAATTTTCCATGGCTCTCAAAATTAAAAAATAAAAACTAATGAAAAAATAAGGGAGAGAAGTCAGAGGGAACCTGTACCTCTAAACTTCACTGTTGCCTTTCACTGTGTACCATTTAGAAGTACCTTTCATTGAAGTAGAATTAATGTATGTGGTGGCTTTCTGATTTACAACATCACCTTTGTTTCATCTCCGGTGTTTTTTTTTCCTTCTTCCAGGTACATGGGGATCTTTCTGCTGGCCATGGACTCCTGGTGGAGTTGATAATTACATTCCAGCTGGTTTTTACTATTTTTGCCAGCTGTGATTCAAAACGAAGTGATGTCACTGGTTCAGTAGCTTTAGCAATTGGATTTTCTGTTGCAATTGGACATTTATTTGCAGTAAGTTAACGGCTTCTCTTTAAAAAATAGACCCCTCATCCCTTTATGACTACTTCAGAAGTAAATGGAGACTTCTGTGGTCTTTATAGCAGCTATAGTTATATAGCTGCTATGTTCTTTACAGACCCATGCCAAAACCCTTTGGAGTAGCAGGAGGGTCCCCTTGTGTAGGGTGTTGCATGAGATGTTTTCTGCTTGTTTATGTGATGACTTTGTTAATTTTGTGATAAGACTCAGGAGAGTGACAATACTTGCACTCAAGATCAGAAGCCATGCAAAACCAGGGTGTCCCCATAGTACAAGGGCTAGCAGAAATTGAGTATCTTCAAGACTTTAATAACAGGTAATGTTTTGTCTCTGCTTTAGATCAATTACACTGGTGCCAGTATGAACCCTGCTCGATCATTTGGACCTGCTGTCATCATGGGGAGATGGGAAAACCAATGGGTAACTGTTTTCATGCTTTCTTCACCATATCTACACAGAGCTATAAGGATTTTTCATACATCATTTGGTTTTAGTTACCTATCCCAGTATGTGCTGTAGAGACCATCACTGAGGAAGACAGGTGCTGACCTGCCACCAGCTTAGGTATAATTATGCTCCCCACCTAGGACTGTGGTCAAATACGCAGCGCATTGTAATAGTCTTGCTATTCAGGGGCCCTTTTGTGGAGGTAGTAGGTGGGGTAAAAAGGAAATCATATAAAAAGTTCAAAACAAAAAGAGCAATCCAGCGAGACTGAAAGAATTGTACTGCTAGAGGGAAAAATCCTCTGAGGCACATTGTAAACCCCCTGGTCATGCCGGTGAGAAGTTATGGAAGTAATTCTGTCGGCTTCACGTTCCACCTGTTTCTGCAGCAAACTGGGGCAACCATATGAAATGAGAGCAGGGACCCTCTGTGGTCTGGTTCCTGGGGGAGAACCTGCCTCAGCAAACGCCCGCAGTGTGAGATGAAGGGGTTGCAGTCTGGTCTTTGCAGACCAGACCAGATGTTACCTGTTACAGTTTGAAAGTGTCAGCTTCACCAGGAGTATTTGCACAGGAAACAATTGGATAAACAGATTGTGAATGATGCAGTCATTTTTCTATAGCATCCCACTGTTAAACTTCTTAAAAGCCAATTCACATTTTATAAGGGAGCGATGGATTGCAGCTCAGCCTCACCTAATTATAGACAGGGAAAGCACTTCTACGGACACTTTCAATGCTAACTGTAGGAGCTGCATATTACAGTGCATAGAAGGATTTTCTTGATTTTTAAATTATGAAGCCCACATTGCTCCCACTGCAGCTAATAACAGAAATAGCACTGTCTTCAGGCCCTAAGCCTCTGATTCTGGAAACATGATACCATGTGTAACTTTCTTCCCAAGAGGGGGAAATTTAGGCAAATTTTCCCAGTTACCAGTGAATGGCTTGTTCATACGAAAAGCTGCTGTTGTTTTTTACAGGATGGATTATCCATACTCTAAGGAAGCCTATAATTCATAACTAAAGCTATAAACAATAAATCAGTGTACCATGGAGAAACTTGCAGGAGAAGCTTAGCTACTGTCCTGGTCACTTGGAAAGACGGCCTTTTTATCTCCTCCAGAGCAGTGACATTGGTGTGCCATTGACAGGAGCCTGTGGGCTTCTGCACCTACTAATGTTACAGGACTGCTGCATGCTGACATAGATAGATACCCTACAAAGTTGTGTATGCTGGTTCTATTTGCTTATTCAAATTAGATAATCAGGTGGCTTACTGCCTGTTGGATTCTGTGGGATCAGAAGCCAAATTTGGATTATTTTGGAAATGTGAGTTTGAAATACTGAAGTAAACTGTTCGTGTATACAATAGGAAAGGTTTTGTTTCCATAGAAGTTTGTTGTCACCTTGGGCGAAAATGCAGAAAGAAAACCAGTTTTCTACAGTGGTGTTTATTTTGTGTGTCATCTTGCAAACAGACCATATATGTTGTCTACAGCTGGCAATGAGTGATGAAAATTTAGAGGAGGCCTCTTGGAAAGAGATGGATCAATAAAACTGACAAAACTATTTCTTTTTGAAGATGTGGTCCTGCTTCTCAATCATCTTACCTCAGCTAGTTTAAAGTCAAAGCTGTGCTGGAGCAACAATATGTTGTACGTGACTACAGAGCTGTATTTGAAAAGTCATACATGATTCCACCAGGATCCATGGCCTTTTTTGTCTCAAGAAATCCAAATAAGGATCATGAAGAACCTGTACTTTTGTCTTTTTGGACAAAGTTTTAAAAAAAATAGTTAAATCTCCCATAAAGAGGGGGGAAAACTACTTCCTATTAACAGGAGAAGGTAGGGGGCAGCCAGAGAGGATGCCTGTGTGTCTGTCCATGGGAGGTGTCCATAACTTCATTTCTACTCAGCCAGTCTGCCCCAGAACATTGGTAACCAGACATGTAGACTGAAATCCTTTTGAGGCATCAGGGAAGTAGTAACTGTACCTCACTGACATGTCAACATAGGTCCCTCTTCTCCTCTGCTCCATGGGGTCCAGTACCTGGTGATTCTCTAAACTCTGGCATGAGAACAGTTTTTAGGGTAGAGCTGCACCCATGGATGAGAGGCCATTGAGGTGACTGGATTCAAGGCGACTAGGAAGCCTTCCTGAAGGGGGTGAATATATGTGAGAGAGACTGGGAGGAAGCGGAGGAAAAAAAAAGTAAACAGACCTAGGACTAATGTAATTAATTGCCTAAGAGACTGCCTTTTGACCAACTTCATATGTGATTTTACAGCAGTCACTTAATTGCTGAGCTCCGGATCACCATCTGTGAAACCTATGGTAGTTACACTTCTCTGCCTTATAAACTGGTATGATGGTGAATTTCATCCCTGTTCATAAAAGCCAGGGAACTATGTGACCATGCATTTCCAAAGAGTTCATTTCGACAACTGGGTCAGGGTATTTTGCACAGACTTCTGAGCGAAGTTTGTAGTGACATGCTTTTCTCTGAGACACTGGCTTCTTTATTTGCTCCAGAGTTTAATGCCTGTCTTTTTTCCACCTCTTTTTGCAGGTATATTGGGTGGGACCAATAATAGGAGCAGTCCTTGCTGGTGCTCTTTATGAGTACGTCTATTGCCCAGACGTTGAACTCAAGCGCCGTTTTAAAGACGTCTTCAGTAAGGCTACCCAGCCGTCCAAAGGGAAGTACATTGAGGTCGACGATAACAGGAGCCACGTAGAGACCGATGACCTGATCCTGAAGCCTGGCATAGTTCATGTCATTGATCTCGACAGGGGTGAGGACAAGAAGGGAAGGGATCCATCCAGCGAGGTGTTGTCTTCTGTATGACTAGCAAGAAGCACTGAAAGCAGAGAGCGGCCTGCTAGCACATCCACAGATATCCTTCCACCTATTAAAGAAACAGATCTCCTCTAGACTGAGCATCTGCCATTTCTTAAAAGGTATGGTGTGGGCAGCTGCATGGTAGTGTTGCCACCAAACCATACACCTGCTCAGTTGGAAGATTAGGACTTTGCTATAATTGGGATTCCCCATCTATTATTCCAGATTAAGAGTTGTTCCTAGTACTTTCCTTTCCTTTCCTTCTTTCTGGAGCAACCCCAAAGTCAAAAAAAGAGATGAAAGCATTCTCCTTTAATAAATCAGTCAATAATGAGATAAAAATAGAGTTGTTTAGCATTCAGATTGACAGTTAAGACATATGAGGAAATGCCTATAGACATGAAGACCTTTTTATCATATTGTTCTTCTAACACTTAATCGGCTGTTGTCAGCTCCGATTAGAACATCTTATCCATTAAGCATTCTCTTTCAGGGTCCAACACAGCACCAACAGTATCTAAGAGTTTTATCCACAGTCAAGCAAAGGAGCACTGCTTCCACTTATGTACACCACTATTGTGTGCAGCTACCTTGAAAACTACCTCTGAAAAATATTATACTTTAATAGGTTTAAAAAAAAATTCTATCAACCCATCGAATTTCATCATGATTTGCAGTAAAAATATATTACCTTCATCCCTTCCTGAGAGTAAATGTGCTGAAATTGAATGTTAAAGTCTACTGTAATAAGGCTGCAAAGCATTTGACTGTACTTCTTGCTCCCACTTGTCATTGTCTATCTGGTGAAACATTCTCCTGGGGTTTGACTATTGACCTTTTAGTGTTAGCAGACTCTCAAGGTCATGCAAAGAATATAAAGGCTTTCCTGTTACTTAATAACTCATATAAGAGATATCAGAAGAAAAGAAGGCATATCTGTTTTCAGTGCACTTGTTCAAAGACACATTTCTGTGCTAATTTATGTAAACTAAAAGTTTAAATTACTTACCTACTTTCTTACAAGATGGTTGGAGATATGGGGTTTTTAATTTATTAGTAATGTAGAGGGTTTTTAACTTTTAACTGTATTGAAACACTGATTGGGAAGTATTTTTTTTATAACAGATGTTAAAAAAAATGTCTGCTTCTGGCTTTTTGTTGTAACTGATGCCTAACTATTTGAACAGGATCTGTGCTTGTTCCAGTGTTCATATAGTCTTGATTACACCTCTGGCAAAAGTTTCTTTAATCTGTTGTTAAGAAAAGATGCAAGCACTTGCAGGGTTTTTTAAGGGGAAAGGGACATAAAATTGTTCAGTAATCAGTCTTTCCCTTATAGAAGTATTTTCACAGACATAATCACCCATGTTACACCCATTTACGTTTCTGTAAAGCTGTTACTGAGTTACTGCTTTTGTTTGTGATCAGTGGCTTTGAGTTTTACAATATGCAGCTGCAGAGCAGTCAGGAGCATGGTATTATTACTGTAACTGTATAGATTTTATTTTGAAATTGAAAAGCTACTCCTGCCTATTTAGTAGTAAGAGGGGGAAAAAAAGCATTAGTCCTGACTGTGGGCTGTAATAGCCTTGTCTGCTCTTTGACGTACTCTGTATGCAATCTTTATTACAGGGAATTAGATGTTTCCAATGAGATAATAAACCACTGCTACACTCAAATCTGTGCACTGTGATCCAAAGGCTATTCTACTGTCCCAACTTGCAGCACTGTATAGTCCCAGCATGTTCTGCCAAACTCATTCTCCTAGTTTGACACTTTTCTTGTCTTAAACTCTGTTAGAGTGTGGCACAAGCTCTCTGTGTTGAGCATGAGATTCATGACTCCATGCATTTGCAGTTGGGCCAGGATCTCTCCCGTGCAGCCCTCAGGCACATGTGGCAGACACAGGTGCAAGACAGGTATTCCTTGAGTGACCTAGTGACAGCCCCACTCCCGACACATGAGCCCTCCCGCCAGACACGCTCCCTCCCCATCACATACCTGTTGCAGCATCACAACAGTCGCTGCCTGTCAAGTCTAGTAAAACAGCTGATAACTGTCCTTAGTTGTGCCCCACCACAGTGACAGCATCACGGTTCAGCATGATTAGGGAGCTGAAAGGGACAATGTCAAATTGCAGAGAAGAGCTCTCCTTCCCACAGCAAGGACTAAGTCTCCTGGGGAAGGGCAACATGGGTGTGGTGTTTAGACCCCTGCATACCTCTGCTCAGATGGGTAAATACCATGCTAGATAGATTCAGTGACAAATATCAAAACTTGTGTGTTGTGGTTTGTTTTTTTTTTTTTTTGTCTAGGCATTTGATCTGGCACTTTTGTTTTACTTTTTGTTTTCCCTTCAAATGCTGTATTTGTTAAAGGGACACTTTGATTAAACCTTTTGCATGGCTTAAACAGCTGAAGTAAAGAGTTATACAATAGCACCGGTGGATTTTTACGAAAAGGTTTGCATTTTTTTATTTGAAGACACTCCTTAGAAGCTCTTAATTTGTGAATTTTGCATGGTACTGTGTTATTTAAATAAGAAGCTGTGATTTGTTTTATGCTTAAGGGTCCTTTATACAAATGCCTTGATGCATATTTTCCTCAGCCAGCCTGATGCTGCTGCTGAGGTGAGCATAACACCTAACCCTCAGTTAGAAGGGGTTTTATTTTTCCTTGAAAAATCCTGTATTAATGAAGTGTGGCAAATACTCAGAACCAGTCCCAAGAGGACTCCTTGCTCAAAGAGAGTACTGGAGATAATACACTGAGGCTCTTGCAAAGATTAGGAGAAAGAAGGGAAGCTAAAATAGAGACCACAAGACAGTAAAGGATGTTGTCATGCATTGAACATTAGCAGGAAAGCAAGATGTGGTAGGACTGCTCCTGCTCCCACAGAATGAGATTCATGGAGGAGTTTGTCATTAACTACGGTGGAAATTATCCTGAGCTTTTTGGGGGCCTGATGGCTTCTCTCATGCACTTCCCTGTGTTTTTTCCAAAATCAAAGTCTTTCAGCAAGATAGTTAATGGAAGTACTTACTTCTGGAAGGGGATGTGTTCAGCTTGACATTTATGACCCACCCTAAAGTAAATCCTTAGGAGTGGCTGTTACCACAGATGGTTCTGCCCCACTGCGGGAGATGACCATTCATGTAAGGGAACATCACTCTTCAGTATCCCTTAGGACTCGATTTAGCTTTGACCTGCAAGGATATGTGCTTCTCTAAGTGGTTTTGCAGTGGTATCATCACTGTACAGTAGTCACATTTGGTTAAACAATAGACTAGCATGACCTTTTTATGGATTGGAAATACTTTTGCCTTAATAGGATTTAAAAACATGTACTTTACCACCGTTTGAGTGAGATTTATGTTGTAAAGCTTTGCCTTCAGCTCTAAACTGCATTTCATAACATAACTAAGTATTTATTGTTTGGGGTGGGACATGGTAATATTTTCTGTTTATGATGGTGGATGGATATCACAGGAAGTCTGCCAGGCATGTCTTCATTCTGGGGTCCTAAAAAAAACCACTGATGAGTCTCTCACTCCTCCATGATGTCACGATTGTTTCTATTGCTTTATTTGCACTTTAACAAACACATTCAAAATATTTAATCACTGAGTTTCAGAAAAGAAAGGATGAAAGCTAAGTGTGATTGCACTGAAGCACACAGATACCTTTTGGACTACCTGAACTGGGAGGAGTTTATCAGCCAAATTCTAACTATTCTCAGGAGAAAAAAAAAAAAAAAAAAAAAAAAAAAAAAAACCCAAAAAACAAACCCTGCAGCTTTTGAGTTGTCATCATAACCCTTCTTCTCTTGAAGTATTTGGGAGCTGTTTCTCATTCAGTGAAAGCAGGAGCAATACTCATCTCATGCAGTGTTTAGGCTGGTGACATGTATTTGCATATGAGCTTTTAAAAATGTGTATTATTTCTGATAATTAGTAATTGCCACAGTATCTGCTTAGAAAGCTAGATGGCCTTCCACCTTTCTAGTGTTTGGTAGCAGAGCAGTTGCTGCTGTGCTCTGCAACACTTTGTTTGCAGTCTGTGTAACACATTCAGGATATTGTACACCATCCAATATTTTTAATCTAAATAAATTATGTGAGAATTTACATTGTGAACCTTTCTTTCCAAGGTGAGAGATAAACACCATGCACAATTTTTTTGTATCTCAAATCAACCTGTGTGTATCTGAGTTTCTCAAGGACTTACTAAATAAACAAGAGGCAAATATAGACTGAACTGTTTGTTACCCAGTTATATGATCTAAATCATATTTTTGCAGTCTGTAATTTAGGACAAATGAGGTAAAGCAAACTATGTACATGGATTTTTCCACAAGACTGCTTATTGTTCAAATGCTTACTCACCATGATATCAGAACTAATGTTATAGGACTTAAAATTTCCATATGTAACATTTGGAATAATCTACTGAAAAATACACTATGAAATAATACGTGATTATCTGGTTCCCACTCATATTCTACTGTATCTCATACTACTGTTACAAATAAATTATCTGTTAAAAAAAAAAAAAAAGGCATCATGTGGTCACTGGAAACATTTAATGAACCTAAAGCTCGGAATTTAAATATAAGGAAAATACTCAATCCAGCCAATAGAACATGTCTAGGAGGAGTCTGGAAGCATGTACAACTGAGAATGAATGTTTTACTATAGAATAATATTCATCGGTGAAGAGAGGTGATTGTGAAAGAGATTTAATATCTTTATGGAAACAAGCTAAACTAATTAGAGCAAAAATTATGCTGGTATATGTACATCACTGATTTTGCCAGATGGTTTTAAAACTCTTAAGACTGGTGAAGAGCTACGGTTTTGAAAAGTGATAGAAATTACACTGGTACTTCAGAGTCCTTTCACTACAGCATGAAGTGTGAGAGAGACCAAGCTCCCATGAGGAACTTCAGCAATGGAAATTGGGTCCTGTAGCAATTACATTTCTGGTTGTCTGGCTCCTTGCTTGGAATGCAAAGTTTATCTCCTAAGACACATAGGACATTCATGGAGGTAAATTAGTATCCTGAAAATTATTAATATGAAAAAACATCACCTGGGATAGCATCTAATCAGCAGGAGGGGCTGAGAGCAGACTTATACTTTAAACTCACCCCTCACAATGGTTCAGCTCTTGCCTTCAGCTTCTTATCCAAGCTCCAGAGGCACCTCTCAAGAGGCTTAGGGGGGTGTGTGGCATATAACTTACCGCATACATGTCCTGTACCTTACTGAAACAGGTTCCCAGGGTCCCAAGGGAACTTAGGCAAAACTAGTAAAATTATTTTAGGGTCAAAAATCACATAAAGCAGGAACCACTGTGACATTTTGAGACTCAGAACAGGAATCTAGGTGTCTGGAGAGTTAGAAAGGCAAACAAGTAGTGATGTAGCTGTCTGCGGGGTTAAGATGAAGAAGGGTCCTGAGAAGAACAGGAAAGCAACAGTGCAGGCAAGGGAGATCTTTGTAGTGTACCTCTTACCCAGTGGTTACTGATGCTGTGGTATCACTCATGGAATTAAAACGTGGTCCCTCTTGTATGAGGACATGCCTGTAGGCTTGTGGATCACATCTGAGACATCAGATGGGAAAGGCTAGCCGTGCTGGGTGAGTGATGTTCTTACTCTAAGCCTCAGTGGTGACACTGGCTTCAGCAGCAACAACTACAAACAGCAACTGTGGCCCAGTCATCTGCTTCAAAACAGAATTTAGACTGTAGGTATTCCCAGTATCAGCTTCCTTTTAAACTCTCTTTGGCTTTAGACTCTTTTATCTGTTGGAGATTGTGGTGTATTGCAAATGTTATAAGCCACTTTATTTATATCAGACTGATAACTATTATCTTGGCTATTAAATTCTTTTGACCTTTCTTGCCTCATGAGAAAAGTAATCCTTAAAAGTACAAAGACTGTGGCATAATCTAGCTAAAAAAACTATCACAAGGTTCGTTTGAAAGGTGAAAGGAGCTTCTATTACTTGTCTTTCACCTTGCCATGTGTGATGGGGAGAGGCAGAGGCTTTCTGTGGGTGTGCCTGGCAAACAGAGTTCCCAATCGCTCTTCTCTATTCCTGTACAGCAGTGACCTTCCTATGATGTTTCATCCCTCTTTCTCTTTTGATATGAATCTTCATGAAAACCACTGGAATTCACAATATGTCTAAAGGTTCATATTAATAGACTCTTAAGTATGCAAACACATGGGTGTGAAAGATGCACAGAGATCCAGAGCTTTGCACAGCCATTGAATCTACTTCTCAGCAGTGGACAAGATCAGTGAGTAAAACTGTGGGAGACCAGCTGCTAATTGAGATTGCTGCATGCCCCATTGGGATCCTCAGTGACTTGGTCATTTATTTTCACTTAATTCTGAGCCATGTGGCTTTGAAGATGGGGTCACTGCTGTCTCATACTTTCATGGAGCCAATTGGATTCTGCTGCTCTTCCTCCCCAGGTTCATTTGCCATAAGGCTATTTTTTCCACACTTAAGTCATTTAAAAATTATTACCTTACACATTTTGAAACCTTCTAGCATGAAAAATATTTTACCATTATCCCACCTCTACCTTAGGGCTAGCCCCATCTATTCTCTGGGTATTGTCGCTTTACTTTGAAACAGCAAATCTCAGGTCATTGGAGATTCATTAGTTTTTTCTCAAAAAATTCCTTTGATAATTCCAGTGATATCTCCACTGTTCTGTTCCACTGCCTAATTATTTCAATTTGCATGGTATTTCAGTGCTCAGCTGCCTAGTGTTTCCATCTTCAGACATCTTCCTTGTTCTTCTTCAGACATCTTCCTTGTTTTGCTTTATTCCCCACTCATCAGAGCTGGAATGAGATGGTTTAGTTTCTAGAGTCTCCTTCTCTGAGCTTCTTCAAGCTGCTATGGCTGTTTTGGACTTGGGGCCACTTTCTCTAGGCAGCAGCAGACTTGCCCCAGAGGGGGGCATCTCATTTGCCTTGACTTGCCAGAGCTGTACAGTATGCAGGCTAAATCCTGCCTTAGCTTCACAGAAGAGATGAAGTCAGTTTGCACCAGCCGAACCCAGTCTTAGACAATTGCAGTAGAGTAAACCGTGACCCAGCAAAGAAGTAACCAATTTTGAAAAGACAGGATTTCGGCTTGTGACATGTCCCTGGGCTCTGATTTGAAATAAAAACATCAATAGGAAAACTAGAACAATGGTTGATTGGCCCTGTAAGTTCTGAACATATGCATATGAATATCCAGTAAGAAAAAAAAGCCTAATAATGCTTCATGATTAAACATGACAGAGCAGGGACAGAATGAACTCTGGAGATCAGGAAGATGTACATAGATGTTGGACTCTGCTGCTGTTTGCCCACAGGTATTGCTCCAGAGAAACAGCTGCACAGTATCTTCTCAGAGCTGAGTCAGACCAGCTGTACAGGGTAGGATGCGCACAAACGCCAATGTTTCAGACGCAAGGCTTTTTTATGTTTTCTCCCTCCTTCCACAGCTGCCCAGCATACTTCAAATTTACTGGAGGCAAACACTGCTAGGGGATAAATGCAGAAGCTTCTCTAGCCTCAAGACTAAAATGTGATAATAAAGCTTTGTGTCCTCCAACCTTTTAGCTTTGAAAAAGCTCAGCAAATACCATGGAGGGAACTTTAACAAAGGAGGTCAAAAAGTCCATCTGGATCCCTCTGCATCCTAGACATTCTAGAGCTACCCTTAGAGAAGTGATCCATAGGTTAGTTTATAGCTGTATAATTAAAATAACCCCCAACTTCTTTTACCATGAGCTTTTCTGTGTTAAAATAAATATCCTTTGGTTGAGCGCAGCTGAAGAGCATCTAAGGTTTATATATAGCAGCTATTGCTATTGTGTCCGAGTGGTGAGGAAAAGGTCAAAGCGAAATTATTTTAGTCTCTCCCCAGTTAGAAAAACCGCTTTGTGTGTTTGTTGGGAGGGGGTGTGTGTGTGTGTGTGTGTGTGTTTGGTCTTTTTTCCTTTTACAGAGCTCTGTTTCTTTCAGGTTGTCACACTTTTATTTTACCTTTTCTACAGGTTGAATCCTCAAACGTTTTATGGAATTACGTAGAACAATTCATTTGCGCATTTAGCGAAGTCTTTTACTTGTTGTGGTTTTTTTTTCTTTGTCAAAGAGTGTCACTTGAGGATGCTTTAAGTTTTCTGACTGTTTGATATCTTTTCTCTGCAGGATCTGATGGCACCCTCCTTAGCATTTTCTCCATTTGTCTGGATCTCCTGCATAGACAGCTGTCCCTTTATTGAATTTGGGACCCTATGGGGACTGCTGAGGTTTTTACAGTGAAGCTCGAACCATCAGAATTTCTGATTCAGATTCTTCATTTTCACTTCAGATAGTATTTTTTGTAATAAAACATACACAGTTTCCATGATTTTTATTTCATGGCAAACCTAATTTTTTTCTTCTGAGTCCAACTCTTTTTTATCAATTTTCTCAACATTTTGCTAATTATTCAGAATTTATCAT